CCATACGGACCTCCCAGCCGGCAAATAACATATATTTATTACCATTCAACAAAGGGAATGAATATTCCTAGACAAAAACCAGAATCTAGTTTAAGGTTCATCCCCACCTGATCAAAATTTTTCTCATTTCAAGGACTCTTGAAGGCCCATGTTTACGGCATAAAAACTCAGCCAAAAACGTACAACCACTTAAGAAAAGTTACAGTTCTCAAACATATCAGGTAGCTTTTGTAATTTGAAAATAATACGGCAAACCATGTACCTCGATCTTCTGGTTTTGTTAGTTTTCTCGGACAAAGGATAGAGAAAATGGATTAAAAGACAAACTGAAAATCAAAATAACCCAACATACAATGGAGAAAATAGAGACAGACCTGCACAAGTGAGTTAAATTCTTGGAAATGAGTGATGGCAGAGCTTGCCAGGTTCACAACATGGTTATACAGTGACATTGCCTCACGCCACTTCTTGCCAAGAAAGTACGAATGGGCTACATATAAACACCTGAAAAGAAGAAAAACAGTAGAAAGTGCTCAAGAGAGATGTAAAGCTGATTCTCTTCGCCCCCTCTTACTGTTAGTGCTTCTTCACTTTATATACAGCCTGTATGTTATTCACTTCATTGCAAAAAGTTGACACTCAGAAGGATGAACTAGGACGTGAATGGTCATGAATGTGACAAAACTTTACTTTATTCCGAATCCTTTTTCTTTTTTCTGTAACAAAGCATTTACCGCTTAAAACCGATCAGAACAAAAAGGCATTCGTTTTCTTTTTTTTCTATAATTCCGTATCAAGCTGACTCTGATATGCATGTAGAAATTACCTGAAAATTGCTCAGTGGCAAATAACAAGTAACTGACACGTACCCTTTATACTGTTTTGGGATTATGTAATAGTTTGATACTTTTCAGTAAAAACGAATGAATTTTTTAAAAGGAGTGCCATAAAGTTTCCCAGAATAAAAAGTTTGATTTCGATTTCAACAGACTTATTGTCCAATTTTCATGTTTAAAATTGATAATTTCAGTCTTGTCTTTTTGTGCCTTTCATATATACACTATGAATGGCTACTCCATGGTGTTAGGCAGTGACACTGTAAGTAAACGAGAACCTTAACTGACTGTGTAATAAAACATAATGTGAAAATTATTAGTACTGAAACAAATAACCAGAATATTCCTCCCCTCCAAGCCAAATTAGGATCAAGCAACAATTCCACTAATTTCACTGTTAAAAGGTCAGGGAGTAAAAAACTACATGACCCTATAAGCTGCTAAGCTTTTATTCCCATCTTGTTTAAATATAGGTTTCACTTACTTAAAATCATACAACAAACCATAAACTTTCAGTTACCCATCCAAAACCAGCTCATCTAAGTACTGTATTAGTTAGATGTGATTATACCTGTGGGCCTTACACTCCAATATTTGAGCTGCAACCTCCTTGGAAAACAATAAGTCTTGATCGATTTCTTGTAACTCAGCCATATCAGAAAGGTTCTAAAGGGAACAAGAAGTGTGAATTGCTGACTTTGACTCACCCTAACAGTAAACACAAGAGGTAAGGATGTAATGTATATTTAGTACATCCATTTTGAAATTATTGGTACCCCTAACTATTTAACTGTCTCTCAGCAGTGCCAGTTATTTCAGAATCATTCAATTTTTTAATTCTAAATTGCACCTTTTTCCCAATCAATGACCACCAGCACTCCACTCAGTTCAATTAGCATTATACAACAAGACTAAAGGCCCAGCCCCACTAAGTTAATCATTTCTGCCCTCTACTTTCTTTGAGTTTGTTAAAGAGATTATCCACAAAAATTTAAGGAACAGTCATTATTTAGGTGGAGGGGAGGTGATGGGAAATAGGGAGACAAGGATAAGGAAATAAAGAGGTTGCCATCTTTTTTAGGTTCAGTGGAGGACAGCAAGAGTGAACATGAGGGTGATAATAGGTAGATTTGGAAAGTAATAATTAAGTTAATAGTGGAAGTAGTGATGGCCAAGTGAATAATGTCATTAATGAGCAAGCAATTGTGCAAACATCTAGAAATAGGAGAAAGATGGAACACTGATACATGATATAAGCCAATTTCAATTTTGTAACCTGTAAGGCTATGGCATTCATGTTCTCGCATTGTGTGTTATGCAGATGCCAGTTTTAACTCCATGTACCAAAAAAAAGGAAAAATACACTATTTACCTCTACAGATTAAAGTGGTAAGGGGGGTAAAATTTAATCAAGAACTAAAAGAGGGGGCACTTTTCATTTTCAGGCCTATTTAAAGGAATACTTGCATTTCCAGACAACCATTTACTTGCATCAAAATTCCATTTGTGGAATATGTATTAATGTTTACATGAAAACCAACAATTCAGAGCTTAAGCCTGAACATTACAAATGGCCTTGGGGTTGACATGACATCATTACAATGTGATAACTAAAGCAGATATAAATACAATTCTGAGCAATGTCAGTCAGCCTACAATGTATTATGCCAATACATTTTGTGATTTAAGGCAATGCATGATGTTTGTGAGGTTCTTGTAACTGCATGCACTATACCTAACACAGATCAACTTTGAGTAATAGCCAATAAATAGTTATAACCATACCTGCAATATAATGTCATATATTCGCACAAGGTCCTCTGGCTTGGAAAGGCGTTTGACAGTATTTACTGTTATTTCCTCAGCAGCCTTCTGTAGAGGTGCTGGTAAACTGCCTTTCATTGACTCTGCCATAAGCAAGTTTCTTTCTACTGTTTTACTCAAACGGATAAAAGTGACGTAATTGTGAAGAAACTGCATATTTCCTGTTTGTGCCTCAAACTTTTGAGACCGCATCTTGCCAGAACCCTGTCAAATTGAAGGCACATTTGATCATGATGACCTGGTTTTTGTTACTGAATGTATATACTTAATGCAAGTGACTAGTCCCAAAAGATTGATCAACACTGTAACATATAAATGCAAAAGAAGAAAACAGCTGTAACTCACTGTGTCTCCCTTTAACTCGTCTTTGATTGCTTGCAAGGCATCCTTGCACTCCATGAGTAAACTGTCATACAATGTAAGCTTGCTGTCTAAAGTACTAGCTCTCTCTAATTCTCTTGCACATTGTTGGGAGTGGAGTATGAATGAGCGAACTTTTTCATTCTTTACTGGGACATTACGGCCACACCAGCTCACTTCTGTCATGGCAGCTGCTTCTCTCTCGCGTGTTTGAGCAATAACTTCCTGTAGGTATAAAATCATGTATGTTATGTTGAGCAAAGAGGAATAGAAATTGAAGCAAGGACTCAAGCAGTAGACACTTAAGTCACTAGCAACAGTCTATTTTTCAGCTATTTTCTCTTAAAAAAAAAAACAAAACAAAAACACTACATTGCAGGCACTACCTACCAAATAACTATTCCTAGGTAAGTGCTTATGACAAAGAAAAAGTTAATGAATTGTCAAGAAAAATAAAATAATTTTGGAGCAAAACTTTTCAAACTGATTGACTGAGTGCCAAATTCTTTCTACCACAGCTATGATCAAATGCCATTTCTGACTGTGCACTTTCATTGTGTGTTTAATGACCAAGCACCCACTGTCAAGTAAACCACCATAAATGAATTCAGAGGAGTTGAACCTATGCCCCCTGATAAATTCCACACCACTGAATACTCTGCCAACCAAGAGGCCTAAATGCTTATTCTGCATTTTGCAATGCCTGACTTTCAGTAAAATTTACTTGGAGAATCCAAGTGGGTTGCTTTGCATGACCATATAGAAATGATAATAGTAATATGGGAAATAAACCATTTATGATATTTTCCCTTTGTGATTTGTTGTAAAAACAAGGCCTGTTTTTGAATACTTCATATTTCAATCTTTTCAAACAACACCAAATAAATGTCCTTCATAATGAAACTATGAGACCTTTTGGATTAGGATTGGGCATTGCATCAGTCTACATGCAGATTCCATGCACAACTTGAGACAGCTACAGCTACAGCAGCTACTCAAAACTATTACCAAAAAAAAAGTTGGAATGAAGAGGAAAGTCAGACATAAAAACAAAGACCCTGGTGTACTTGGTGCGAATTACGGTCAACTCGCCGACGGACCAACTCGCCGACGCCAACTCGCCGACGTATAAAATCGAGTAGAGACGTCGGCAAGTTGGTTGTCAATCCAATACAACTTATTAGAAGTTAAACATACAGAAAAGTAAACGATATTTAGTAAAAAAACACTGGTGAACATTGGTGAACATCAAACAGAAGCTTTAACATTGGTGAATATTGGTGAACATCACCAATGACTATAACAGCTTAAGACCCGAACGAGTTATTGTGCGACAACAACACCGTAAAGACTCATCATGTCAATCGCTCAGATTTTTTAACAAAAACTTGGCTTTCTAGACGAGATCTTTAGGAAAAAGCATTTCTTTTTATTTGCAACAAAGTTTATAAGGATCTCAAGGCGAATAAAGGGAAGTAAACATCACCAACGACTCTATACAGCTTCAAACGCGAACGAGTTATTGTGTGACGACAACACTGTAGACTCATCATGACAATCGGTAAGATTTTTTAAGAAAACTTGGCTTTCTTGACAAGATCTTTGGTAAAAAGCAATTCTTTTTATTTGCAACGAAGTTTATAAGGATCTTAAGGCGAATAAAGTAAAGTAAACATCGCCAATGACTCTAACAGCTTCAGACGCGAACGAGATAATTATTGTGTGACAACAACACCGTTAAGACTCATCACGTCAATCGCTCAGATTTTTTAACGAAAACTTGGCTTTCTAGACAAGATATTTAGTAA